ACACATCTAGATGTGTATAAGAGACGCACATGGCAGGTGGCAGTGTATGGCAGGTGGCAGCGCATGGCAGGTGGCAACGCATGGCAGGTGGCAGTGTATGGCAGGTGGCAGTGCATGGCAGGTGGCAGCGCATGGCAGGTGGCAACGCATGGCAGGTGGGAGTGTATGGCAGGTGGCAGTGCATGGCAGGTGGCAGTGCATGGCAGGTGGCAGCGCATGGCAGGTGGCAGCGCATGGCAGGTGGCAGCGCATGGCAGGTGGCAGCACATGGGCTGTCAAGCATCTCTTGTCAGGCCGACACCGAGACGAAGTCTAGAGAACGGATTTGCGCCTAAACTGGCAAGGATTTTGCGTCTGTTTCTCTCTACAAGAAAATATCTGGAGGTGCAATCGAAATAACATCGAAAAATATGTTTCAAAATATACTGCATGAACTTATTTAGCCTTAAGTAGCACTTGGAAAACTTTGACGATATTCCAAGCAAGGAACTGTACAGGAGTGAACTGAGCCTTGACGATGACATGATTGGTCAAGATGAGACGTGATATAGTTCTTAAATTAGTATAAGTATAATTTGAAAGTAACCATCTGGCACACTAAGTTTCTGACTAATTATAAATAATAAGTACAGTAATGTTATCTTACCGCAAATACAGTTATATTTCAGACAATAAAAGTGGACATGATACATTCTAGAGAATAGCTCGTGCATTCTAGAGAATAGCTCGTTATGGCCGAAAACTTAACTGAATGCTTAGAAGTAATCTTGTATTTTGAATAAATGAGTAAACATCAGGACACCGAGACTTATCGTCATCACATCAACAAATCAATTACTGGAGCTACACATCAATATCGTGTGTCAATATCTTAAAAGGAGTCGCATTTACTTGCAGCTCTAGGTTGATGATTGCCATCAGTACATCACGATATCATTAAAAAATCAATTTTTTAATGATTTCTGCCATAGATTCAAAACTAACTTAGTTAGTCCAGTCATGTAATGTGCAATCAACATATTATAATTGCAATTGTCATTAATGTGCAATATGAGAACTCTGTCATCCTGAATCTATTTACTATTTCAAAACTAAAGGACGTTTTTTTATGAAGACTCATTTGAACCTACATTATTAAGCACGGGGCTATTATTTTTGGCATTTAACGAAAACTGCAACTTTATCATCCACGTTATCGAATCAAAAATCGCATTTCAAATTTCAAAGCATGCATTCCAGTCCAATTTTCAATATTTGATGATTTCATACAAAAAATATTTATTCCCAGTTAATGTCTCGACATGACAAATATTGAGGAGATGCGCTCGTACAACATTCATATATTTATTGTGCCAGGCATACAACATCGGCAAATTTTTAAAAATATTTATCGAATTTTATGCTCGGCTGATGCTTCCTGGCAATGGAAATGTCAACGAAAATCTGGCATGCATAGTCCTATTGAATAATGTTTGGTGATGGTACTGAGTCAGTGACGGTCGGACCATGCAGAGCAGTCCGTATCAGAAGTCTCCAGCTCGGCCGACAGAGCGTTTAATCAGCAGCATTCCAAGTCGCTGAACATAAAACCTTGATAGCCACTCAGCTGGAGCATCAAAGCAAGCCAGTCTGCTGCGACTCGTCTGCACCAAGTCATGTATTTGATCAAGTATCTTGGAGCAGGCAGTCGTTTCGAGATAAGCATCGTGTCATTCGCTAAGCCAAAGAGTTAAATATTAATGTAGATGGATGTGTGTTTGCATTAGGAAGTCGAGGCTACGGTCGCATACCGCGTTCAAAATGCCGGTCGCTTGCTAGGAAACATGCATAAGGTTGGGAGCTAAACAGCCTAAGTGCTGTGCAAGCCTCTCGTGTGGAGACCAAGAGCATCTCTGATTGATTTGATAGAGCAGCCATATAGCAGTTCCTAGAGCTTTGATGGTGCAGTCCCATAGAAATTCCTCGTGAATGCACAAGGCAGCTTTAAAGTTAAATTGCGATTTGACGAAGAGGCCTGGCGGTGCCGAGGTGTTGCTGTTTAGACTCTGCACGCATCGTGAGCGTAAAATCTCCCTTGTTGATCTGCCTGAGACTTGCAAGGCTGCTCCATTTGAACATCGAAATGTTAAAGCTGCGACGTCTTAGGCAAGATACGTTATCGGTGCATTTATTCTAATTGGAACCACAATAGAAATGCTTCAGTTATATAGAGGCGTTGTTTATTAATGCTAAAGTTGACGCCGAACACATACATGTTGCGCTCCGGTGGCGTAAGGCGATTCATGATCAGAGATCATGACAATACTACATTTTAGATTAAACGGACACATTATTTTCCATCGAGGCGTCACGACCAAACAAACAGGTACGAGTGCAGTATAAAATATATAATCGGTAAATAGATCCTCGAATGAGATACATCATATGATTCTATTTTTCCCATGAAAAGTTCGTTCGATAAGATATTATATATTCAATTCGCGACGATAATTTGGCTGGAAGCGTGGGCTGGAAGCGACAACAATGGAAACATTCCAGCGTTTGACGGGCGGGATCTCTGGCTGCTGGTGACAGAAGCTGTAAGGCAGCGGCCCTAGAATGTACGGCATTTGAGAAGACCTAGCCAAGATTTGAACACGGAATGTCGTAATGATATGGGAAATGCGACGAGGGATCTCACCGAGATGCTTATCGAGTTTATCCTTAGATAATAAAAAGTCCCACAAGTGGAGAAGACGGCCATGAAACTCGCATGGAACTTTCTGCTTGGTTGGCTGCCTATCAGAAGCAAACTTTATGCACGCGCAAGAGACTCTGCAATTAAAATCTGGACGAGGAGCTCAATAATTCATTAAAAATGTATTCTGAAATCATGGAGAACATTTATATATTATATTTCATTTATATTATAGCACAAAAGTGGTTGCATAATAGTACGGTAATTAGGTCCGAGAGGCAATTTTCACAGTTAATAATTTTGAGCCTTTAAAATAAATAAACATGTGAACTAGATTTTACTCACCAGAATCAATGGCGACGACAGTGAGACTGTAATGCTGCTCCTCTTCACGATCCAGGGCTCGAAGAAGGCTAATTTCCCCAGAAGAAGCATTCACTGCAAATAAGGACTTGTCTCCGTCTTTGACAAGGTAGTTAACTCGATTGTAGGGAGGGTTATCTGCATCGAAGGCTGTCACTGTAGCTATCGAAGTGGGGAGACCTCGCATGTTCTCCATCACGTACACGAGATAGGGCGAGTCTAGGAACACTGGCGGGTTATCGTTGATGTCCATGATCGAGATGGTGACTGTGGCGGAATCGTAGCGGACATCACCACCAGAATCCTCTGCTTGAACGGTTAACAGGTAATGATTTCGTCTCTCGTAGTTGAGGTTTTTGGCCACACGAATGACGCCTGTGTCTTCACCGATTGAAAAATCTCGATTCTTGTCACCCGCAACTATGCTATATCGCACACGTCCATTTAGTCCTTCATCAGAGTCCGTGGCTGATACTTGAAGGACTGACAAACCGATCGAAGCGTTCTCAGGCACACTAGATGAATATTGTTTAGGGTCAAATATAGGCGAGTTGTCGTTCTCATCTGCAATCTTGAGGTTGATGGTTAATGTCCGAGCATTAGGAACTGCCCCACGGTCCTTCGCGGTCACCACCAACGAGTAATTGGCCCGAGTTTCGCGATCTAAAGGACCTGCAATCTGCAAGAGGCCATCCACGGGCCCCAGCGTGAACCTGTTATCGGGCACCGGCTCCAGCGAATACTCTATGTAGGAATTGCGGCCTTCATCCCTGTCCACTGCCTTGACCGCCATCACGACGGTGTTCACAGGAGTGTTCTCGGCAACCGTCAGCTCGTCGGGAGACACAAACTCGGGCGCCATGTCGTTAACGTCCCGCAGGATAATCGTCACCTGAAACAGGAAAAACATTTGCACATAAAAATTCAGAACAGCGATTGACAAAAGCAAGGTTTATGTATAAGGAAACCATCATCAAATCATACGCACGGATAGCGATATTAAAGTTCGGCAGCATGTGCGGCAGCAAGCATGATGCTGCTTCGTCGAGAACATTGCTTAAACGCTGGAGCGGCAAAAAGAGAGAAACAAAGTTATGTTTTCGGTTTCATTGTAAGCTATGTCCTTTTTTCCTAATGTTTTCAACAAATAGCCATCTATAAATTTAATGCAATGAAATTGTTTATTTTTCCATTTATTGAGAGCATGCAAATGTGGCACGTTAGAACGCTATAAGTCGACTGGTTCAGCATTAATTATCTGATATTTTACTTCATAGTTCCATTTGCGCTTTTTTCAGTCTTAATTTATGGCTTGAATTTATTCAGGTCATCGCTAGCTTGTGAGACAGCTATTTATTTATTTAATTGATTCCATGAAATCTTTCCATTAACATAATGTCGCCTCACCGAATTCAAGATTAAAACCTATTTAAAGGAGCAGTTTGTTGCGACCAAAGACACGAATGAGATACAACGAAAATGGAACTCATTAGGATGCAACGTTATTGTAAAGCGTTGGAATACAACGACACTGGAATGTGGCTTTAGTAAACGTGGAAAAAATTTGCATATCGGCTCTCTACTGTTCGAGGTTTAACCCAATGGCGTAGTGGCGCTAGCAGAAGTGAGTACATAGAAAGAGTGAACGATTTGTTCATATTGAGGGGGAATATGAGGAGCTTCGAATGAGCTGCACTTCAACACTTTCGTCGCATCACAAGCACAAATAAACACTGACCGTTCGAATGCTTAACCGCAGTACTGAAGTTGTACAGATAACTACACAATTGTTTTACTGTAGTACCTATAGGTTAAAGGCAGCTACATTATTGTTTTAGCTCATTACCGAGGCTGCAGGCGATAACATTAATGTTTTACTACAATACCGAGGTTGTAGACAACTACTTTACTGTTTCACCGCAGTACCATGCAAAGTTGAATACTACTACATTATGTTTTACTGCAGTAGTGAGGTTTAACAAGTTTCCAGTCAATACTATTCTTCAGTTGAAACGCTTCAAGAGTTTAATAAATGAAAGAAGATTTACCATTTACCCACAACGTCGACACTCGGTATTCAATGGAATGCATTACGCGAATGTCGACCCGCAGCTCTGCAATGCGGAGCGTGAGGGAAGTTATCCGGCGGTGCGGCCGCGGACATGAGCGAGTTACTGCACGGAGGACCAATGCCACCCAACGAGAGGAGCATGCCAGCAATAACAGGCTGGGGAACATGTCATTGCATATCTCGGGTGTTGTGGGCGACCACATCTTGCTATAACATCGATAAAAACCAACAGAAATCTTTATAATGGCTGACCTCGGCGATGGAGACAGTCGTACCGAAGAGGATGTAATTATAAAAAAAGTTCAATGACTCTTTGGCTTCCAGGAATGAAATAATTTCCTGGATGGAAAGCACGGGTGAAAATTTTATCCTACATCCGAGATTTCGGGCAACATTATTGGCCATGACCAAGGAAAATGCGAAGTGTTAATATTCACGGAGGCTTTATTTTGTGACCGAGAAAGAAGATCGGATGTAGAACGAAGCTAAAACAGTTTATTATAAAAAGCAGCATCATTGCAAAACTTTGGGAGGCGATAAGCGAACGATGCAGCTGTGCTAGATAGCGATCTTTTAAAGAAAAATGTGAAATAAATTTAAGTGAGATAATTCAATGATAAAGAACGTCAGAAGACATTCCAAAGCAAGCAATGGCTATCTCAACCACTACCGAAAACACTTGGTCGTAAAATAACCACCATTAAAACACAGTCAATAAATCACACGAGAATTCCCGGCTTCTGTATAAGCATTTCTTATGGCCTGAAGATTCCCAATAAACACGTCATAAGCCCTGTGCCAATTACTACTAAATTCAGCTGTCATCTGGACCTCACGAGCGCCCGAAATATGGAGTTGCCGCTCAAATCTTGTCAAGTTTAGGACTATGGCATGATACCCGTATTGCTAATCATGTAGATGGCGCCCAGCTCACAGTTTAGGACTATGGCATGATACCCGTATTGCTAATCATGTCGCTGGCAACCCATAACGATTACGAGAGCCTGGATGTACCGGAGTTAAGGTTTATGTTTAATAAGCCTGATTCCTGCTAAAATTAAGTGAATAATTCACCTGTAATTGGGCCAGTGAATAAGTTTGGATTAAGTCCTTCACATTAGTTCAAAGAGTTTTAGACAGATATACTTTTCTACACGGAATACATGTGTATTTTGTTGAACAGGGTTCAATCAAAATCGTAAGAAAGACGCAATCGTCAGAGAGATGAAATTACTTGTATGCTGGAAGGCTTGATGTGAAAGGCCTATAGGAGGCTTGACAGAAGTTATGGCACTGATTCCAAAACTCGTGACTATAGTTTATCAACTATATTATATGCTTACATTTGTGGGACGGTAAATAAGGTACATTTATATCGATTTATCACAAGAGAGAAACATGGCCAGATAAGAGCTCTAGGAAACTGCAGCAAAACCTGGGTAAGAGGAAGACGACAGCAGCAACATCTCAAATGTTATCGATCAAACCTTGGTCGGAATAACTAAACATGAAACAAAAGCAGCACAATAAGAAATTAAACGAGCCAGTTCATCCATCCTTGGCCATTAGCTTGGTGTTCCCAGTGCACAGGCAGTGTATCACAAATCCATTATCGTAGATCCAGGAGATAGAATTACTATAGATGGTTAATGCAATATCGAGCCCATGCAAGATGGCGTGCGGGGTGCTCGCTTGTATCCCATAGAAATACTGGCCTTATCGATGGTATGGCTGCAGGGCACGAGTGTATTTATTGTGCTCGAGTTATAGTTGTTCAACATTGAGCCTCATTGAATATAAGAAAATTATGTAAATTGAAATTCAAAGTTTTAGTTTCCATCAGATGTGAGTGGCACAGGTAGTTTGACAGTTTTCGAAGCGTACTTACTAAAAATCCATAGAATTATTTGTATAACTTAATTGTTTAGATATAAAAAAAAAACAGAAATTTGGAAAAGGATAAAAAATGCCAAGCAAAATTTACCATTTTCAGGAATCACTTTTCGGTGACCAGAATCGGTCTAAAAGCTATAGCAATACAAGAAAAATAAGATGAACACAATTTACAAGGAATGAACTAAACCTTCATTTGCCAAATAAAAAGCGCAGTATCGTTGAAATTAAGAATAAAAATTTCGAGCAGATAATAATACAGGTGAAACCCCAAAAAATCCACGAAATATAGTCTACTCTGGCGTCTGTAGACCTTTTGCGGCAATTACAGCCTTAATTCTCCGAGGTATTCATTCATATAAATTATTAATTGTTTCCAAGATAATCTTATTAACCCATTCTTCAGTTGAACCCTCTTTCAGTTCAGTTGAATCCCAGCCATCTTTCCGCTTTTTTCCCCTTTCTTAACGTACACTCGGCCAGAGGTTTGAAAGAAGGTAACGATGATTTGTCAGAGAAAACCACATTTTTCAACTGCTCGGAGGTGTTACCAATTTTGGGGGTGTTTACACCTTTCTAAAGTCTGAATGCTGTGGAGCATTTGTATTTGGGACAGGATATTTTATAATTGCAGCTCGTCCGAGGAATCCAATTTTTTTGCAGCTCACGACGAATATTTTCAACGGAAGCTGGGTTCTGTAGGTGTTCATTGAGGTCTCCTGTAATTTTTAGAGCCCAGATCTTTCGATTTTGCCAAATAATTTGATTCAGTGACCGACGAGTTGTCTCAGAAACTTCGACTTTCGGCCAAACCTGTGCATTGATGAGAACGTTTTTCAATCCGTATCGCCCAAATTTTGGTACATGTACCGCCGACGCAGGTACGTTTTTCCTTCTCTTTCAAAGCAGTCATTACCTTTGAGACAGTGGTACCTCTTGAAACGTCAAGCATTCATTCATAACGTCAAGCATACGGGCACCAACAATTTGGCCTCTTTGAGAGTCACATAGGCTTGCCATTTTTAAAAGGTTACATCCCAATTTTTTTTAAATCTGTGTAAGCATAAAATACCAATTAATTATCAGCAAAAATAAATGAACAATAAAACAATACTTATTGAAATCTGTCAAGTTGTAATTGTTTAAACGTATTCAAAAATTACGTCTCATAATTTTAGGCGTTCATCCTTTTCGGTGTTGCCCCCTGCTGTAGATAAGCGTTATTATGGAAAGTACTTTAAAAATCTTGGGTTATTTTTACGTTAAATATTTTTACAGCAATTAGGTCTAGTTCGGAAAATTTGGTTCTCCATCGATTATAAGTGCATTCTTGAAAATGTGAAATGATGATGGAGCTGATGATGGAGCTGATGATGGAGCTGATGATGGTGCTGATGATGGAGCTGATGATGGTGCTGATGATGGAGCTGATGATGGAGCTGATGATGGAGCTGATGATGGAGCTGATGATGGAGCTGATGATGGTGCTGATGATGGAGCTGATGATGGTGCTGATNGTCACTAGTTACCGGACCCTGGTCACTAGTTACCGGACCCTGGTCACTAGTTACCGGACCCTGGTCACTAGTTACCGGGCCCTGGTCACTAGTTACCGGACCCTGGTCACTAGTTACCGGACACTGGTCACTAGTTACCGGATACTGGTCATTAGTTACCGGGCCCTGGTCACTAGTTACCGGACCCTGGTCACTAGTTACCGGACCCTGGTCACTAGTTACCGGATCCCGATCACTAGTTACCTGATCCTCTTCAGTAGTTACCGAATCCTGGTCATTAGTTACCGGATCCCGATCACTAGTTACCTGAACCTATTCACTAATTACCAGTGACTCTTATTATCAACCTACTCCTAATTTTATTTATTTTTATTAATTATTTTAATTTTTATTATTTAATTTTATATATATCATTGCTATGCATGAAGCCTTATCATTTCTATAAACTATGCTACTCATTGAATATTTGATAGATAATGAAGCTGATAGGATTGAGTATAATTATAGGTCAAGGATCAGGTTACCTAAATTTGGAAAATATTTTTATACTAGTAATTTTGAAGAGTCCACACTCTCCCTCGCCCCCGAGGCTATAGGGGGTCGGGGTTTAGGTGAGAGACGTACGTAGAAAATTTCTGGAATCAAAATTTTAGGGTAACTGAAGAAATTTTCACCAATCCAAAGATGTATCTTTTAAGACAGATTTCTAATGTTTTGAATATTAAAGGAAAAAATTACATGCAATTATAAAGGATAACTATAAGTCAGAGCAATTACATTAAGTTACTCTTAATAATTGAAGAGATATTAGTATTAACTTTTAAACTCGGTTATTATCGATGTCTGAGAGAGAACTTATACAGGTATTTATGTTATGTATTCAGAAAATTTATTGATTTATCTTCAGATGATTGGTGATTAACTGGGGCATGATAATGAATTTGATTGTTTACCCTCTTCAAACGATCATTTATCCTCTTCGTTACACTTTGATGATCGTTACACTATGCAAATGATCGTATGCATTCAATTAAAATTTTAAATAAACTTTAATTGTGTGTAATCTTTAAACGTAACTAAAAAAAGTGTAGTAAATTATATTTTTATAAATTAGCAAGAATCTTTTAGTAACAGCCCCCGGTTACGCTGCAGCGCCGGCATAGTCCTCTAAGCATGTTTCGGACGTAGCCTACGACCATGACTTTACTGGGCTGATTACCGTACCGATGATAATTATAACCGTATCGCAGTGCTCCATACTCGAATGTTTTGATACCCATCTTTACGGCTACGTCACAGCCGCAGTGTTGAAGTTGACCGCACAAATATGGCGAATATGTCGCTATTTCCTGCATATTTTTCACGCTCTTATACTGGACTCAAAGTAGTATGAATTACCGGCACTTTTACTCGATCGTTATCACTAGACCCATCGGCAAAATGGTCGGAACCGTCAACCAGGGCCCATACTTTCAAAAAAAGTTAAGAGATCGTAAGTTCATCAGCCAATCATTGACGGCCTTTCAAGCAAAGTCCACCAATCATAGACAAGAAAATAGAGCGTAAGTACTTACGTTCACTTAGCGAGTTTTGAAAGTATGGCCCCAGGT